TTCTCGCTCTGTGGCCCAGACGTTATTCCCGCTCGCTGGATCTGTCCTTTGAGCCGCCAATCAAAAACGTATCCCCAGCAGCCCATTCAAAAACCTTGCCCATGAGAGTTGACGGGAAAGGGACGAAGAGACACATGTAGTGAAACAAAGCGGGCAACCAGATTGAACAGAGAGATCTCTGGGGTTGTCTTGGAAGGCTTCTTCGGGCCATCACTGGGGCTGGTGGTGTTGGTCAGGATGGGCCCCAGGAGGGGTCTGGGACGTGGTCTGGACCGGATTTTGGTCCGTGGGCCGAGCCCTAGCAAGGGAGGCTCCTGGGCCTATTTTCTGGGCCCAGGGGTCGGAGGCTGTCTGTGGTGGGCGCCCTCCGAGAAACAGCCATGTCGGGCACGCGGGAGGAGTGCGTGTTCATGGCGAAGCTGGCGGAGCAGGCCGATCGGTTCGAGGATATGGTCGACTGCATGAATCGGGTGGCGACGATGGGCTTCGAGCTGAGCCTGGAGGAACGCAACCTGCTCTCCGTCTCCTACAAGAACGCGGTGGGTGCCCGAAGGCAAGCATGGCGTGCGATCAACACCGTGGAGCAGAGAGAGAATGCGGCTAAGAAAGGGCCCGTAATCCAAGATCTCATCAAGACCTACCGAACTAAGGTGGAGAAGGAACTTAAGGCCAAGTGCCAAGAGATCTTGAGGCTTCTAACCACCGAACTGTTACCGAAAGCTTCCGACCACGAGTCGAAGGTTTTCTACAGCAAGTTGAAGGGAGACTATCATCGATACCAGGCGGAGTTCGCCTCTGGCGAGGACCACAGCAAGTGTGCTCAGGATGCACATGACGCATACCAGCATGCCTCTGAGATTGCACTGAGCTTCCTGCAACCAACAGACCCGGTCCGCCTTGGACTCGCACTCAACTTCTCTGTGTTTTACTATGAGGTGTTTGCCTCCCCGGAGAAGGCGTGCATGCTGGCCAAGGCTGCGTTCGACGACGCCATGAACGTGATGGACATGCTCAACGAGGACTCGTACAAAGACAGCCAGCAGATTATGCAGCTGCTTCGAGATAACCTTACACTGTGGACCTCGGATATGCAGGAGGCGGGCGCAGGAAGGCGGGATGGCACTACAGTGCAGGACATGTGAGCACATGTGATCAGCCCTGTGCGGATCCAGCTGCTGCGCTGAGCAAGCGGAGAAAAAGATGAGACCTGTGCAGCGTAGGGATCAGAAGAGGATGACGACGTTTGTGTCGTGAGCTGCAGGTCCCCCCTTCCCCCCACTCTTCGTCGTCAAAGGAGATGATATCTTTTGGAACTCATGCCCGAGCTTAACATGTTTTCCCTCCTCGCCAGATTCGTTCTCCTCGTCTTTCTCCGTTCTCCTCGTCGTCGCCGTCCTCCTCCTCCTCCTCCTCCTCCTCCTCCTCCTCCTCCTCCTCCTCCTCCTCCCCCTTGCCCTCCTCGCCCTTGCCGCCGTCGTCGCCGTCCCTCCACCCTGCCCAGCTTTTTTACCTCAATTGGGCCTGCATCCTGGATAGTCCTGAGTATCTTGTGCGCTGTAAAGTGGCGGCGCGGGGCTATGTGCCTCATCGACTCTGAGGCCGGCTGACACATGCTCAATGAAGGAGCGATTTCGCAGGAGCCAGTTCGATTCTGTTGATTTAAATCGATTCGAGTTCAAGGATTCAGATTTCGGTTCGGTTCGACTCCAAATTCCGACTTACGTTTCGATTTCTTTGTGTATGCTTCGACTCGGGCCGCCTGACGCCGATTTCGATGGGGACCTTCCCTGTCCTGTAATTGCGGCTGGTTTCTTGTACCCGACGTGGGTTTCACGCAGATTCGAGGCGGTCTCGGCGTAAGTTCCAGGCAGGTTCGACGCGGATTTGTCGCGGATAGCATCGCGGTGGAACAAAGGAGGTATCCCGATTCCCTCTCCTGGGACCGACATGCCATCCCAGGAATAGGCATTGACGGTCCCTGGAGGCCGTCGTGTCGCAGACGGATGCAATTCGAACCGGATGTCAGGCGTCCTTGCGTTGGGCATGGTGTCGGTGAATGGCGAGCGATTTGCAGCCAGAGAGCCCACGAAATCCGCGCGGACCTCCGAACGTTTATCCTGCTGCCTGCGGCAAGTCCCGCCACCGTGCCAGCCCAGCATTCTGGGTGGCGAGTGTGCGAGGCGGCACGGGAGGCCCTCATGTGTGACGCCTCGTGTCCACAGGCTTGAGAGAGCCGTTATGGGAGTGTTAAGGGGGGATGATGATGACAAGGATCAGGATGAGGATGAGGATGATGCCGATGACGACGACAATGACGATGACGACGAGGAGGATGCTGCTGATGATGAGGATGATGGTTCTGATTAACATGATGATGGTGATGCTGATGCTGATGCTGATGATGATAATCATGATGTTCATGCTGATGCTGATGCTGATGCTGATGCCGCTGCTGCTACTGACGATGATGCTGGTGATGCTGTTGCAGCTGCTGATGATGCTGGTGACGACGATGATGCTGCTGCTGCTGATGCTGATGATGATGATGATGATACTGATGATGATGTTGATACTGATGCTGATTATGATGATGATGCTGCTGATGATGATGCCGATGGTGATGATGATACTGATGATGATGCTGATGTTAATGATGCTGATGGTGAAGAGGATGAGGATGAGGATGAGGACGATACAAATGATGATACTGATGATGTTGCTGTTGATGATGCGTATGATGATGCTGCTGCTGATGATGCTGATCATGGTGGTGGTAGTGGTGGTGATGATGTTGATGATGATGAGGAGGAAGAAGAGCAGGAGGAGCAGGAGGTGTAGGTGGAGGAGGAGGAGGAGGAGGAGGAGGAGGAGGAGGAGGAGGAGGAGGAGTTGTAGGAGCAGGAGTAGGCAGAGAAAGTCCGCCACATGTGACACATTTCGTCTTATTTTCTTGAGTTCTCGTGGAGCTCATTTGGGCAGCCTTGGGGCTGTCTTGGGCTTCTGCTGGGTAATCTTGGGGGCCCCTTGGGGTCATGTTGGGGCCCTCGTGGGACGTCTTGAGGCCATCTTCGGCTATCTCATGGCTCTCTGCTTTCTTGGGGCCTTCTTGGCTGTATTGTGAGGCCATGGTGGTGCCGTCTTAGCGCTGTTTTGGGCATTCGAAGGGCCTTCTGAGGCCGTCTTGGGTCTCTCCAGAGGCCCTCTTGTGTCGTCTTGGGGCCGTCTTGGAGGCCTCTTGGACCATCATGGGATCCTTTTGGGCGCTCTTCGGACCCTCTTGAGGGCCTCTTGGGCCGTCTCGGGGTCATCTTGGAGGGTTCTAAGACCGTCATGAGCTGACAGAAGCCCAAGAAGGACAGAAAGCTGTTTAAATCTTGAAGACTATCCTTGATTTCTCTCGCTTCGCGGGGTGTATACGTCTAGACCACATACAGTCTAGTCGTTGCGGGAACTCTTGAGAGCCTCTTGGGGGCGGCTTCTTGGGGACCTCTTGGGGCCTCTTGGGGGCATCTTTGGGGCCTCTTGGAGGCGTCTTGGGCCGTCTTGGGCGCTCTTGCGTCGTCTGGCCCCATCGGAGGCCGTGTTGGGGTCGTCCTAGGCCGTCTGGAGGGCCTCTTGGACCGTCTGGGGGCAATTTTGGAGGCTGCTCGGGCCGTCATGGACCCCCGAGAGTCTAAACACTGTGAACACGCTCACATCAGTCAACATATTTTTGGAATCTAGAGGCGCTCTCGGGAGTCCCCTTGGGGCCCTCTGGGGCCCTTTGGGGTCATGCCGGGGGCCTCTTTGGCCCTCTTGGGGCTATTTTGGGCCATTTTGGGTCCGTCGTCTTGAGCCGTCTTGAAGCCATCTTGAGCCATCTCGAGGACCTCGTGGACCCCTAGGAAGCCCAATAGGCCCAAAACAGTGATTTTCAATAGGTTTTGGTAGGTTCTTAGGTGTGATTCTAAACAGGAGCGAAATGGGTCGGCGACTCGGCGGGGGCTCTGGGGGGGGATGAAGGGGGCTGCTTTGCAAACAATTGTATAACAATGCATGGCAAATTAGCTTCTTTGAGACATCGTAACTTGGCCCTTGCGTCAAGCACCCGTCCTTTCGGACTGCCGAGACGCTTCGCTGCAGTCCGAACATGAATTCCTCTCGCTTCGCGGGGTGCACGTCCGGACCACGTACAGTCCAGGCGTTGCGGGGACTCTGGGGAGCCTCTCGGGGGCCTCTTGGAGGCTTCTTGGGAGCCTCTGGGGGCCTCTCGGGGGCCTCTTGGGGGCCTCTTTGAACCGAAAAGCATCCAAACAGCCTCGACCCTCGATGCATGATCCTCGAATCCTGGAACCTCGGACCCTCGAACCCTTGATTCCTCGATCCTCGATCTTCGAACCTTCAAGTTCCCCTTTCGGCAGTCGGCGTCCGTCCTGTCTCATGGGCAAGGTTAGGGGGGATCAGCTCAGGGTGCAATGCATCCACCCCCCACTCGCCCATTTCACCGCCGACGGGGGCCCGACAGCCTACCCACCCCAGCCCAGGAACGTGTGGATTCGCTACTGGAGGCCCATCGCCGCGACGTGTCGCCGATCCTAGGTCCATGTTCCCTCCCCCCCGAGCCAGTCCCCCTCCCTGACGTTCCCGCTCAGATCCTGTAACCTCGAACCTCGAAGCTTGTGCCGCTGATCTTCGGTCGGCAGTCGGCACCCCCTCCCTCCAGGGAAGAAGGACGGGGACCACAACCGAGACGCCGCGGGATTTTGTCGATATCGGTCTTGGTCACGGTGCACGTCGGCCGTCGCCGATTTGCGAGGATGATCCACGAAATGACGCTTACCAAGATCGACGCCGACGCCGACGACGCCGACGCCGACGCCGGCGCTGGCGCCGCCGCCGCCGACGACGACGACGACGACGGCGACGACGGTGACCGAGCTCGACACGACGTTTCCGCGCTCCTCACTGGTGCCCCACTCCGCTCCCTGCCTCCCCGCGCGCGGCGCGCAGGACTGCCCGAGATCCCTGACGGCTCGCCGCCGGCGTGCCGCACGCCCGTCCGGTGTCTTCGCCCCGCCCCGCACCCGCAGTCTGGCGGCGGCGGGGCAGCCCGGGGCCCTTTCGGGGCGCAGCGCTGCTCTGTGGGGGCGTCCAGGAGGCCCCTGCAGAGGAGCGCTTTCGACGGGGGGCAAGCTTTCCCCTCGTCCCCTCCTTCCTCCTTCTCCTCATCTTCCTCCTCCTCCTCCTCCTCCTCCTTTTCCTCCTCCAATCCTCATCCATCTGCCTCCCTCCGCCCCTCCTCCCCCTCCTTCCCCCTCCCCCGTCCCCCCCCCCCCACACCTCGCTGTTCTTCCTCCTTCCCTTTTTCTCTCTTTTCCCCCCTCCCCCTCCCCCTCCCCCCCCTGGATCAGACACAGCACCTCGGATCCAGGAGCAATTTCGACTCGGCCAATTCGACTTCACTGGAGTTGGATGGTTTCGATTCCGGTTCGATTCGACTCTGGATCCTGACTTCGGGCTGGATCTCCTTGTAAACGCCTCGGCTCAGGCCATCGGACGTCGGTTTCAATGCCTTCCGATATGCCTGCCGATTTCCATATATTCGATGTGTTTCCATGGGCGATTCGATTTCCTGATTCGATTTTCGGTTGTCCTGCTTCTTTTTTGGACACCGCTGGCACTTTTTGGAAACCTCCGAACGAGGAGCACTGAACGACCTCAGCATGACCTTTTGGGGGTCCACGCGGATTTCTTGGGTCGGCGCTGGATCCCCCCTAGGGCCCACTGCCGGTCCAGCACGTCCAGGCGGACCTCAAAAAGTTACGCGAAAGTTTTGGTTATTCCCCACATTCTAAAGCGGTTCCTGTGCTCTCGGGACACCTGCGTCCCGCCAGTGCCGTCCCGGGCGGCCTCTGGCTGCCACGTGCCGGGAGGCGCGTAATTATTCGGCTCCGCCGGGTCCCCTGCCCGGCTGCTCCTGTTGCTGGGACCCCGCGCTTGTCTGGCTCCGCGGCTGGGCGTCCCAGAAGCCACAACTCAGCGTCATGTCCCGTGGGTTTCAGGTGTCTGCACGAATAGAAGCCTGACGCAACCGCTTGATTATCAGCGACGTACAGGCCTACGAAAAAATAGCGAGCACGCATGCTACATTCATCTGTCAACGCCGCCCCCTCCCCCCACTGTTCATAGTTGGCGGTGGGTCTGATGAGTTGCACCTCCACCGCAGTCACCCCCACGCGTGCCAACCTTGAGTTTTGGGGGGAGGGGGAGTGTTCAGTAATTGTTTCCCTCTAACTTAGCACAAGAAACCTTGAGTCATACGAAGAGCGAGTTCACATGAATCAAGTTCGCCTCGTGCTGGTGTCTGCCTTTTGTCGTGCAGCACTGCGGTCAAAGACGCACGACTATGGACTGGTTCGAATGAGGAGAAAGAACAAAAATGCCAATCCACATCTGCGGAGTCCAAGATCTCTGGAACGATTGCCCCGCTGCTATTCCCCAACACCACGATCGGCTGATCATCCGTTCCTTCCCCGAGGAAGCCCAGAAAAAAAGTCGTTGCAACCGACGCACCACCAACTCTCGGAGGCACGACAGTGGCGGCCGCAGGTAGAACTCCCCTGAGCCAGAAACATGGTTCCACCTCGTGGTGGGCATGCGCTTCTGGGATAAGCATGTCTGGCTCCTTGTGCCCCTCCCCTAGGTTCTCATCGCACCCCCAAAAAGATGGAAAGCCGTTTCAGGGGCGCGACCACATCGGGGGCACGCGTCATGGACGTTGTGGTCGATCTCTTCCTTGATTCGGGCTCTTGGCCAATAGCCTCCTACTGCAATGGTGCGCATCAGCTCTGATAGTCGCTCGCCATGCTGGACCAATCGAAGGTGGCTAAGGAGATAGCGATGTGAAAGATGATCGACTCCACCTTCCATCTCACCTCCATGCCAATGCTGCGAGGCACGCTGTCAAATATTAAGTTGGATCGACGCTGCTAAATCTTCCAAAGGTGGAGCAGGCCCAGAAAAGGCCCTTCTCGGGAAACCTCCAAGTAGCTTACTCCCCATGATAGTCCTCAGGAGCCTTCCAGGAATCAGGGGTCTCAGTGTCCCAGCCCGCTTCCAGCAAATGCAGAGTACCCGCTCCAGATGGTCCTCGAACATGCCTGGAGCATTATCCAGGGGCCGCAGAGCGAAACCGATCCAACACAAGTGGCCATGAATGCCTGGCCTGATAGAAGGGATGGTAATCCACTGTCGCAGCCAAAAGTTCACGCATGCCACGGGGAGTGTAATAACTGGATCCCCCCCTGGCGCACGAAGGTCTAACAGACTAGATAAGCAACGCCCTCGCTGGCTAGCCCCGCATGCTGCGCCCATCTGCCTGTGACAGCGAACCACGACCGTCCAAACATAAAACTCGGGGTATCTCGCGCGCGTAAAGCTGCGCTGCAAACGTGCCCGCTCTCTGCAGCTTCGCAGTCGTGGGTCGCAGTCGTGGGATACTTGCGAGCAGCTCGCTCAAATCTAAGCACCTTGCCATGCATAGTTGCCGCTTTAACTAGTCGTTTGATTCTGTTCGCGTTCGCTCGTGCATGTCGCCAACCCCCCCAAGATCCGTCCCCAGATAACCAGACTGCAGAGCAGCTGACGTTGAACCATCTGCTCGAGTAAGACGCCGTACAACAGGTTGGGCGTCCGCAACCGTTGAACGCAGAATGAGGCTCTTGGGCGAAACTCGAAGCTCCTGTGCCTCGGCGCCCCGACACGTGTCGAAAAGTTCTTCAGTGAGTTTTTTTCCTAACCTGAGCCCTGGGCCCCAGAGCGCGCTGAGATAAGTCAGCAATCCAGATCCTGTGCCCTAGGTCCCAATGCACCGTGGTCATGGCTTGCAAAAGAAAGCTTCCATGCAACGAGCGTGTCTGGTACTTTCCCGAAGCCCCTGGAAGATTGCTCGACGCGGGCAGAATGGTTCCGCAAAAGAGCGCCTTATCCCAAAGCCCTGGGACCTACGCATTTCAGCAGTTTCAAGTAAAGGATGACAGGTGGAAATCCATCAGGAGGGGAAAAACACCGACACAATTAATCGCCGATTCTCAGGAAAATATGCAAACATATGGGAAGTGGGGGGGAAGACAAGAACCCCAAAGACATAGGAAAATATAGGGAATCTTTCTATTTGTGTGTATTTATTTGTGTGTCCTGGGGCCCCTTCAATCCAGGCGTAGCGCGCGCCGGGCAAAGATCGCTCAAAAGTGTCCAGTGTCTAGCAGCCCTCTTCCAACAGACATATTTGTGGCTCCAGCGACCTCCCCTTCAGCTGCGCGAAACAGAGGCTTCCTGGAGCGCTGAGTTCCCGAGGGTGGCCGCGCCCCAAGCAGGCTCTGCTTCAAAACTCCTCTGTTGGACCAAGGGCTCCCTTGAGATCGGCCGGGTCCTCGAAACCATGCACAGGTCTCCGATCTCGCGGCCCCCTTCTGGATTTTTGGGTAATGGTCTTCAAATTGCTAAACTAACTTGCGCTGGCCGCGCCAACGTTTCCTCGGCCGCTGAAAATAAGTTATTGAGTTCGGCCCCTGGTAGTCTTTCACTGTCTAGCGGTGAAAGAACATCAGCTCCAAGGCTGGTTCTGGGCCTCATCCGATGCACCCCAGCGCGAATCTCTGCCGGTGGGGTCGGGTCCAAAGGTTCGCGTCAGGCAGCTGCTCGAATCGCGGCAAACGTATCGAGGACCTGCTGCTCGTCGATGTCCCTGGGGGCCCAGAGCTCTTTGAATGTAAGCGCTTCGTGGTCAACGGATATCCCGAGGGCGAAATAAAACGGTCCACCCCTGGACCATTTTATCTGGGGCAGCAGGATCTTGGCGCGTGGCTCGGTGTAAAGTGCCGAGTGCCTCTGGTGTATCCGTCCAGCTCTCGGAAGAGTCTAAAGATACCCGCCACGCTCCCCGACGAGTCCTCGCCGAAATGCGTCTCGCTGCAGCTACAAACTTGCCGAGAACATCATTGGCTACCTGGGCGCCGTGCTGTAACAACTCCTGCCATGTGGGCCACGCTGGTTCTTTGCCCTGCAAATGCCCGCGTGAGCTTTCTCTGGAACTTCCGCCACGAGATTCCGACATGCTAGCCTAAGTTGATCCTGTTGGATTATACCGTTACCACGACTAAGGTGATTCAATCATTTTCCCAGTGCGATGTGTGTTCTATCCCGCCAAGGCGCTACAATGTTAGATCATGGTGCCGTCCGACCTTTGTTGGGAATGTGCACTTCCGTAACTTGGAATTCATGTCCACAGGCGCGAGGGATAGAGACAGGCACTTCGACCTCGTGGCGGCTGCATGTCGTGTCCTCCACTGCCGTAACTCATGAAACATCAAGGGCTGCAACGGGGCTAACAGAACACGGCCCGAGCCGAGCAGCTACTGAAGCAGCAAAAGCAGGAGGGCAGGGGGAGTGCGGAATAAAGCCCACATCAGGCCTAGCCGCGACCAGCGTCGCGTCAGGGATGTATAAATTCACGGGGGCCGCGGGGGACGCTTTTGCAAGTCCTGGGGTGGGTGAGTGGCGGCGCACCATCCTCGCTGGGGGGTGGGTTTTCTGTGCGTCGCCGAGTAGACGATGACCAGCCACCTGCCGATATCGCATCCAAACGAAAACCTCGGCCAGGAAATCGAATCGCTGCAAAAGACATCGTCTTGGGAAGTGTCGCGATACGCCCGCCTCGGGGCCCTGCGAGTATGGTCATGCACTGTGCCAGACGAAGTGGCGTATGCAGCATGATTCGTCTCGGGAAGTGCCTGGCCCCGAGCTTGGGCGGCAGTGCTCTGAGGGGGAGGCAAGCCCGGTCGCCTCAGAAGCTCCAGCGGACGCTCGCGTGGCATCCGTGCCCGGCCCCCCCCCGAAGAACGATCATCGTAAAGCTTGGCCTCCGCGGCCCGCGGATCTTCTTCCCCCGTCGGCGCTTCGGAGAGCGCGTCGAGCCTGGGATCAACAACGTGCGCTTGGCCAGCCATCGCACGTGACTGCTCTTCGCGTTCCCGTGCGGCCTGGAAAGCTCGATCTTGCAACTCTTGTCGTTTGGCCGCGAAATCGTGCCTGCGCTGCAAACCATCGGCCTTCGACATCTGAGACTTAGACCCTGGCGCAGGCTGTGGCGAGGGCCTCTGGAGCTGGGGAAGCTTGGCAGGGAGGACACGCCTGTGCTGGATAAGCTGTTTCCCCAAGGAACGTACCCTGATTTCAAAGCCACAATGAGTCTTCCAAGGGACCTGAAAGATGGGACTAACCGACACACGAGAAGAAGCTGCAGACTGATTCTTCATGATGTAGTCTATCGTGGACCCTAACTTGCCTGCTGAACATGCATACTCGGTGGCGGGAGTCGCGACTGTCCCGCCAACTCTCTCCAGAACGCCAGACAATCCTAAAACAGACGGTGTCATGTTAAAGTCCCCGACGATCACCTAAGGGAACTGAAGGGCGAGGAGGACGGAGCCAAGTCTTCTGTAACGCTGTAGGTTAACAGCTGACATGCCAATCGAGGAATGAACATGGCAAGAAACGAGAACGTAGGAGTAGTATTGCACATGTATTAGGGCAGCCGAGAACCCGTCGATACAAGTCTGTCTACAAGAGTATTTGAAGAGTGGGCCTGCATGTGACTTGGGAGCAGGATCCATTCCCCGCCTTCAGTCGCGCGCTCAATGCCTGAAAGTGTGGTGCCTTTCCCTGTCGACCGAGCTGGATTCCAAATCATCCTAAGCGCGGCCTTGCGCGCCTTCTTCTGCCACGAAGCACAATTCAGTGACATCGACTAGCCTGCTGCTGCTCAAGGAAAAATTCCAAACTTCATCTCCGAACGCAGTGACATTGCCGAATGACATTGATTGATACTCCTGCTGAACTGACTCGGGCACATGAGGAGCCACTTTGCCCTGAGACTGGTGACTGGCGCCAGCTATTCACAGATTCACGTCCTGGCCGTCGGGAACAATAGGCTGCTGCGCGGCAACGTGCCGTTGCGCTAAAAACTTGGCCTCAGACAGTCGCGTCGCCTCTGCTGCTACTTGCTTCTCGAACTCTGACTGGCCGTCAACCGGCGGGCCACTCCCGCCGTCTGCGGGAGGAGCGGCGGCTGGCATGGCGCCGCTGCCGCCTGCTGGCGGAGCTGGCTGCTGCGACGGCGTGGTGTCCTGCTGACCGTCGGCCTTCCTCTTCTTCTTCTGCAGCTCCGGGAACAGCCTCGTTGCACTCTCGATGAGAGACGATGCCTCCGAAGCCTTCGAGTCCAGGTTGGACTGCGTCTTCTGAAGTTCGATGCGCATCTCCTTCAACTGGGCACGATGAGCTGGGTCGCCATCCAGGTCGTCAACATTCAAAACAACTGCTTATCAAAAGATATGGCAAGCGGCTTGACCTCCACGGGATCCGTCTTGCGCGTGAGACCCTCCTTATCCGCCAGGACCTCAGCTGCCCTCTTTCGCAGAGTATCAGCCCGAGCTACCTCACGAGCATGGCGAGCCTCTTTCTCCCTTGCTGCTGCTACGTTCTTCTCTAATCGACAAGCTGCCTGGACTGCCTGAGTGTGACGGTTGGACTGCCTGAGTGTGACGGTTGTTCACATCACGCCAGGCTCCATCTGCCTGCTTCAAGGCAGACGCCACATTTGAGTCAGTTTGGGGTGAATCTGAGGTTCGAGTGCTGCTCTCAATCTCGGGCCTTGGGCCGCCGCCAAAAACGTCTGCAGCAACGTAAGAATCTCGGGCTTCTCCTTCTTGCTACTCGAGCTGGGTGACGACTTGGCCTCTCCAGACGTGGCTGAACCAGGAACATCTTCACGACGTGGTTCGAGCAGCTTCACTTTACGTCCGCACTTCCCGCACTTATGGTCCCGAGCAAAAAGCAACTCACTGTATTCAACTTGCCCACGGCCCGTGCACGTGGACCATGAGCGGCTAGACATGCGGATTCCCCGGCCTTCGCCGACACACGCTGCGAGAGAAGGTGGGCGAAACTCCGCGCGGTTGGTCTTTCCCTTCAAGCGCCACGGGGAGGCACCGAGGCTTTGGCTTTCTCGCCAAGATGGCTGGGCCCGAGGGGCTTGAGAGGAGGACGAGGAGGAGAAGGAAAAGGAGGAGGAGGAGGGGGAGGAGGAGAATGAGGAGGAGGAGGAGAAGGAAATGGAGGAGGAGGAGGACGAGGAGGACGAGGACGAGGATGATGACGATGATGACGATGATGATGATGATGATGATGATGATGATGATGATGATGATGATGACGATGCTGATGATGATGATCACGATGATGATGATGATGATGATGATGATGATGATGGTGGTGGTGGTGGTGGTGGTGGTGGTGATGATGATGATGATGATGATGATGATGATGCTGATGATGCTGATGATGATGATGATGGTGGTGATGATGATGATGACGACGACGACTACGACGACGATGATGATGATGATGATGATTATGATGATCATGATGCTGATGATGATGATGATGATGATGATGATGATGATGACGATGACGATGATGATGATGATGATGATGATGATGATGATGATGATGATGATGATGATGATGATGATGATGATGATGATGATGATGATGATGATGATGATGATGATGCTGAGGAGGAGGAGGAAGAGGAGGAGGAGGACGAGGAGGACGAGAAGAAGGAGGAGGAGGATTCCCCTGCACCGCCCCCTCTCTTGCCTGCGATGCTAGAAGGAGGCGCGGGAGCGCTCGCCGAGCGGGGCCTTGTTGCGCCCGCGCGCGCGCCGACCTCCTCTCTGTGCCCGATCTGGGCGGGCCGCGCGGATACGTCACCCTGTACCTCTACCTCAACGATCGGGGGGGCAAAAAGGGCAGGCCTTCCCTCCTTCTCCTCCTCCTCCTCCTCCTCCTCCTCCTCCCTCCTCCTCCTTCCTCTCCTCTAAGGCTCGGGCACCCTTCTGATACCAACACATCCGATAAAGTAGCCTACCAGCACCCTTCTGCACTACCTAATCGTGTCATGTTTTGCTAAAGTTGCGTTGCATCTCATTATCTGCATCAGCAAAATTGTACATCGGACGCTGGCCCTATTCACGATGCAACATGTCTCTATCTGGCAATCAAACCCACTTTCGTCTAGCCGCCCGATTAGATTGCAGGAGATAGCCCCTAGGACTCGGAGTATGGATGTTGTCTGTCTTAATGGCACAACATAGCATCCGCATGGACAAACAGTAGCACAATGGAAGAGAGCAGGCCCCAGGATATGGTGTGTCTCATGGCTGGAAGAGGGGTCCCTATTCGAACAGATCAGCAGGCTGTGCTATCGTACTCGGTCCAAGGATCTCCCGCAGGAGCGTCGTCGGAGTCTGGAGTACCCCCCAATCAGCCGCAGGTCGCGGCTGGGCGATTCGCACCAAGAGTCGGCAGTTCGACTTCGGCATCCGCAGCCTCTATTTTCCTCTCATCACGCACGTTGTGTGCCTGCCTACCGGCGTACATGCAATCTCTTGGTGAAGTGGCCCAACAAGGGCCCCCAATATGGTCTTCACATCGTTGTCTGCCCAATGTGTGGGTCGACCTCAATTCAGGTTTCGGATCTAGCGAGCTCCAGGACAAGAGGAATGGCAAGCGGTCTCTTCGAAATGTATTGTCACAGCTGCACCACGTGCTCGTCAAAGGTACGCCGCTGACGTTCTTTTAGCACTACACCAGCAACTTGATTTAGTCCCAACCAATACATCCCGAGGGGGAGACTCGACGTTGTACAGGTCTACCGGAAAGAGTTCACAATTTGATATTATTGTTTCCAGTGCGCCTTACCTCCGCAATTACCAGTGCTGGGCCGCTGCGACGGCTTGCTACGGAATTGCTGATGATACCGTCTAAATATCATCGCGATCATATGCCCGTTCACGCGAGAGTGTGTTATTTTCTTGAAGCGGTTCTGCGTTTGACATATCATAGGATCTCTGCGCATAGACATGGGTTTGCTCATCAGCCTATCAGATGAAACAGAGAGGCACTCATGGACGCCTTACATCGTGGCACGCACCGAGCAGCATTTTTTACATCTTTGGGGAATCAGCTTAACCGAGAAGCAGATCAACATCAACAAAACCGACGAGAAAGCAGACACCTAATCATGGATGGGTTTATCTTTTGCAGGCAATGACACAGGAGGCACAACCATTCTGTACTTCCCCAGCGGAGCCGTCAGAAGGGTGCAAGCAGCGGGCAGATGAAGTTCTGCAACTACTTGAGCAGGGACGGCACTTGCGACTGCAATTACCGGCACTCGCTGCTCATGTACCTGGCGCTTCATTTCAGAGCGACGAGCTTGCCTGGCGAGAGGCTGCACTTTCGCAACAACTTCGCAATCTCTCAAAGGCACGGCGACAGCCGCGGAGATGGCGCTTGGTGGCATGGCGAGAAGACGTTGCATCTGAGCTCCTCCAAGCTTACCAACATGGCTGGGCGGCTGAAGTTGCAATATTGACACGACTCCTGTCAGCTAAGGGTACCGGGCAGCGAGACAGGAATGATAAGAGAGTGGTTTCAGCATTGCCGACCTCGACTGATTCTCAAAAGCGTCTCCAGCTTTCGTCTGGCGAAGGTGGCGTGGGCGCGGATATTCTTCCAAATTGGGAGGCTCTTGTTGATGATTACATTTGCGGACAAGGAGGCATCGAAACTACAGATTGTACCTCGCCATGGTCACAACATGGACTCGACTGGGCCCGTGACAAACTCGAGCTCAGTGGCCAGCATTTCCGCGATGCGTCCAAAGGAAAGCAGCCCCGCCATGGTCTTTCCCATTGGCAGTAGGTTTGATGCGTTTCCATCCGCGCCGACGAACGTCGCGGAGGTTCAGAGGGCTCGGTTTCGAACGGCGCGGACTTGATGCGAGGCATTCGCGCGTCCCTGGAGAACATGCCGCACAAGGTTTATAGGGCTGGAGAGATGCCATTGGTCTGGCAGTTATCCAGCGGAGTTGCTATTACTTGGAAGAGTGCCATTCGTGTTCCATGTCCGTTTGGGAAATGCGTTTCTTTCTGCGTGTTTGCGCCCTTCGCAATTCAATTGCGAGCCCAACTTTGCGCGCGGATGCGTTGCGGCCAGAGGAAGAGAAGTCCCGATGATGATGCAGCAGTCGCATGGATGGCGACTTCGACGGTCTGGATTATCATACATAAGAGATTACAAGGATGTCACGATCGCGTTTGGTTGTACTTCGTTCTCTTCACTCGCAGCTAGCGTCGGGGCGATTATGAGAGCGCATGAAGCTCGTTTTGGACGGCGTCGATATCTCAATGCAGCCGTGTGTTTCTTGGGGCCAGAAGGCATTCTGTTTGCAAAGCCATGCGTCGGAGCGCTTCAAGGGGATCCTTGAGCAGTGGAAGTATTGGCTCGTTTTATTGGCCTAGTTCTCAAACGCGCGCTAGAGACATGCGCTGGCGCACTAGACGAGATGGCGCAATGTTGTGTGATTGGCCTCCCAACGGGCGATGGTGACATCGAGGAGCTTGACCTCGCCTCCCACGGCCATGTTGACGACGCTGCTCGCGTTTTGGTTTCCTCGGGCTATCGCGACAACGTTGGACTTGAGCTCAGCGGTATGCCCCTCGCATGCGAAAGAGTTTTCACGGGCGACGTGATGCAGCTCAATTATCGCGCCAACCCTGGGAAAAATGAGCGCGGTGGCAGTCTTCGGTTAGAACTCTCAGTTGCTTCGCACACATTTTCGAGATGGACGCCTCCCCCTTGCAGGCAGAGCTCGCGATCGAGCGCGACTATTGGGGCATTCCCATGCCGGCGCGACGTTCGCAAGCCAGCTTCCATTCATACTGGAGGCGACTGATGCCGGGTTTGCAGCTAGGGGGCGCTACTGGTGCCAAGAGCGTCTGCCGTGCAATGAAGAAAGAATGGTCTTCCTCGGCAGAATCTTGGGCCCTGCGCTCCCTTGGCTGGAAGCGTGTATCCCCGCCTCCGCGCAACTTGAATTTCCAGGTTCGTATCTTGTTGTGTGCTAGACAGGCCATGAGGGGAGTGGCTAGTAAGTTCAGGTGCCCGCATGGCTTCGATCTCGAACGACGATGTTCTCGATCTTGGAGAATAGAGCCCCCTGAGATCTAATATCGCGCGAGGCGCATCGCATGGCATCACTCTCTGGTTCGTGAGCCACGCAAACATCGGGCATGATTGGGGGGCGCTCTTGGCAACGACGCGAGTGGGGGAGGAGTTAGGGCTTTCTATCTTGAGCCGGTCAGGACAGCTCTCCGAATGTGCTTGCCTCTGGGCTCGTCGCTCCGTATCCGATATCGCGTCTTTGGAGGATCTCGGAGACGCCGAGTACGAAAAGGTTCAGGAGTTTAACATGGCGCCCTTCTGCCTCTTCGCCCCCCCCCCCCCCCCGAGCTCGTCGACTGCTTCGCCCTCCTGGGCCCCTTGGTTATCCGAGCGACATGGCTTCGTGCATGTATTTCCCTCCTTGCTATTCGATGTCGCACTCGATCGACGAGACAGATCTGCCCCAAGTCTCTACGGAGCTATCACACTAGATGCGCAGTACCTGGGTGTGGCAAACCTTCAACGGCAATCATTAGCTCCTGGTCCATCTGCAAAATTACCATGGGCTCCTCTCGGTTCTGGGGCAAGCGATATTATTTAACATATGTTTTGTTTGAGAGTATATTCGGATCCAGGAACTCTGCCTATAGGGGTGCTAACGCGAGTTTTAAGACGGGAGCGCGTGTGTGTATTCGAGAAGTTCAACATATCTAGCCAGCCAGTCCAGCGCGAGAGTTTGTCCGTTCTGTCAGGCTCATTCTGAATCGACGCCTGAAACTTCTCCTACATTTACGACAGCACTTCGTACTCCTACCTGTTGTCGTCGATGGCGGCGGAGGCAGCAGATAATCCAGACTGGTTCATGGCGCCGCATGGCAAACGCAGAGCAGGAGGCTCCGGTTCCCGGGGCAAGCTGGCCAAATTCCAGGAGGAGGTTCTCGGCAGCGAGGAGGGGGCGGGCTCAGCGCTGGCAGCTCCCATCACCATCCTGCGCCGCCTCGCCCTGCGCGACAGCCGCGAGTTGGCCGACCTCATCGGCGCCCGCCTCAGCTGCTATTTGGTCCCGCCCACGGCGGGGCTCGTCGCGATTGTGCAGGATGCAGGCTGGGATTGCAATGACAAGTTCAAGGAAAAGGGCAAGGATCATGGTCTGGGGCCGCCGTGGCCTCGTGTGTTTCTCGGGCTTCTCTTCTACCTGGCCAAGCAAGCAGCAGACTCTCCGCTTCCAGTCAAACTACCCTGGCGCGCTATTGGAACGCGGTCGTAATTATGCCGGAGAAGACCGCGCTGCGCACAGTGTAGGAGCATGTGAGGTTCTTACGGTTGAGAGCTTGCCACTGAGACAAGCAGCAGCACTCGGAACCGCAGGTGTGCAAGTTTCAGTTCATGGTGACACCGGCTCGGCAGACCCTCAAGCTCCGCGAGATCGACGACGCAGAATTGCTCACCTTTCCCGAAACGATTGCGCTGGCGGTGGAGGCTCAGGGGGGCTCGTTCAAGCCAGGATCAGCGCCCCGTGGCGCGATGGAGAGGGGTGCGGAGAATTTGCTGAATCGCGTCGGGCTGTGCCGCGAGGCCGTCCAGAAGCAGGTGCAGCAAAGAAAGTAGCCAGACTTATCTCGATAAGTGGATCCGAGCGGATGCTAGATCTTTGGCAGATAGGGTTTTTGAATTATGAGGCCCATTGCCAGGTTGCAGCGGATTTCTGCTTGGCCGTTTTTCGAATACAAGGTTGGCTCTAGAAGGTTTTACATGTTTCATCAAGTCGGGATCCCTGTGGAGCCCAACATAGATGTAATTAATTTGCTTCGAAGGTCCTCCAGGGTCCGACATCTGACTGGTGACCTCCCTTTTCCTCGGTTGAGTCCCTCTCCCTCTTCCCCCTAGTTGCCCCTCCCCTCCGCCCTCCGAGGCGCTTGACCCCCCGCAGGCAGCTTACGAATGATACGTATATTGTAGGATTGCGACCTCTTGACTCGCACCTAGAGCTCTCAGGGGATAAGGTGTCTCTGGAGGGCCTCAAGGGGTCCGTCTTGCCCCCTCTGGCTCCCTCTGTAGGCCAGTGGAATCCCCCCGTAGGGCCGCTGGTAGGCGCTCCCATACAGCGCTCACAGAGCCATATCCATATTTTCAGTTACACTGGTGTAAAACCGCCAAGGTTTTCCCATCCAGCAAGACAGTGACCAATTGGCTCGTAAGTGCTCTTGTCTTGTCTTCTCCTCTTTCCTCCTCCTCCTCCTCCTCCCACCTCCATCTCCTCTTCCTCCTTCTTCCACCTCCTCTTCCTCCTCCCTCCACCTCCTGCTCCTCCTCATCGTGCCCCTCCTGCTTCTCCTCGCCTTTTACGTTGCACCAGCTTTTGTATGATGATCCGTAGCGTCGATGCTCCTCCTCCTCCTCCTCCGCCTCTTGTTCTTGCAACTCCTCATCTGCCTCCCTGTTCCCCATCCTCCCCCCTTCCCCGTTCCCCTCCTCTTTCCTTTCCCTCTTTAGACTTTTCTCTTTTCCTCCTCATTATTCTTCCTCCTCCTCCTCCTCCACCCCCTCGGATCAGACGCAGGACTTCGAATCAAGGAGTTATTGCGATTTGTGCGATTCGAGTCATCTTGATTCGGATAGCTTCGTTTCTTGTTCGATCCGACTCTGGATCCCGATTTTTGTTTAGATTTTTTAGTTTACGCTTCGCTTCGGGCCGACGGACGTCGATGTGCATGCTTTCCGATATGCCTGTCGATTTCCACCGATTCGATTGATTTCGATTACCGATTGGATTTCCCGATTTCATTTTGGGTTGTCTTGCCCTCCATCCGAGTCTGAAGAAGTGCCAGGCGAGAGGTCGATCTAGAGACGTAGCCGTTCGTCTTCCCTGGCTTGGCCTGCACGCAAGAAAGTCTCACACGAGGATTGAGGCTCTCCGCGGAATCTTTTTGGCCCTCTCAGGGCTCTTTTGGGATCTTCGGGGGGCCACCACCAGGGCCAGGAAACCCACTGGAGCCGGCAGGGGCAGGAACACCACAGTCACAGAGAAACGCGTGTGTTTCTTTGAAACTTGGCAATGCTAGGGGACTTTGTGGGATTTTTCTAGATGTATTCAGGGGCCTTCACGGGTCTCCCAGGGGAATGTTGGGGCCTCTTGGAGGTTTTTTGGGGGCTGTCGTGGACCATTTTCCCTACCTAGGCTCTGCCTAGAAGGGTTCTTACTCTGTTAGCTAAAGGGGCTGGGCAATGGAAACCGCCCCGGGCGGTTCCCCCAGTCCCCGCCCCGCGGTTCCCCCAGTCCCCTGGGAGCTTTAGCCTTAGCTTTAGCTTTAGCTTAGCTTTAGCTTAGCTTTAGCTTTAGTTTTAGCTTTAGCTTAGCTTCAGCTTAGCTTTAGCTTAGTGTTAGTTTAGCTTAGCTTTAGCTTAGCTTTAGCTTAGCTTCAGCTTATATTTAGCTTAGTGTAGCTTAGCTTTAGCTTAGCTTTAGCTTAGCTTTAGCTTAGCTTCAGCTGAGCTTTAGCTTAGCTTCAGCTTAGCTTTAGCTTAGCCTTAGCTTAGCTTTAGCTTAGCTTCATCTTAGCTTTAGCTTAGCTTTAGCTTAGCTTTAGCTTAGCTTTAGCTTTAGCTTTAGCTTAGCTTTAGCTTAGCTTTAGCTTAGCTTTATCTTAGCTTTAGCTTAGCTTCAGCTTAGCTTTAGCTTAGCTTTAGCTTAGTGTTAGCTTAGCCTTAGCATAGCTTCAGCTCAGCTTTAGCTCAGCTTTAGCTTAGCTTTAGCTTAGCTTCAGGTTAGTGTTAGCTTAGCTTTAGCTTAGCTTTAGCTTAGCTTTAGCTTAGCCTCAGCTTAGTGTTAGCTTAGCTTTAGCTTAGTGTTAGCTTAGCTCTAGCTTAGCTTTATCTTAGCTTTAGCTTAGCTTTAGCTTAGCTTTAGCTTAGCTTTAGCTTAGCTTTAGCTTAGCTTTAGCTTAGCTTTAGCTTAGCTTTAGCTTAGATTTAGCTTAGTGTTAGCTTAGCTTTGGCTTAGCTTTAGCTTAGCTTTAGCTTAGCTTCAGCTTAGCTTCAGCTTAGCTTCAGCTTAGCTTTAGCTTAGCCTTAGCTTAGCTTTCGCTTAGCTTTCGCTTAGCTTCACCTTAGCTTTAGCTTATCTTTAGCTTAGCTTTAGCTTAGCTTTAGCTTAGCTTTAGCTTTAGCTTTAGCTTTAGCTTAGCTTTAGCTTTGCTGTAGCTTAGCTTCAGTTTAGCTTTAGCTTAGCTTTAGCTTAGAGTTAGCTTTAGCTTAGCTTTAGCTTCGCTTCAGCTTAGCTTTAGCTTAGCTTCAGCTTAGCTTTAGCTTAGCTTTAGCTTAGCTTTAGCTTAGCTTTACTGTTAGTACTAATGCTGCTTTCCTAGGGGCTCCAACTCCTAGGTAGGGTCGCACTGGGATAATTGGACCACCTTGGGGTCACAATTGGACCTCTCCGGACTACCTTCGGGCTGATTTGGAGCTTGCCTCCCACTGGCCTCCTTTGCTGGGTCGCTCTTAGGCCCTTTTTGGGCTCTCTTGCATCCCTCTTGATCCTCTTGGGGGTTCTTGTGGCTCTCTCTTTGACTGCTGGGATGCTATCAAGGGGCCTCCCTGAGGTCTCTCTGGGGCCTCTCCGGAGCTTCTTGGGACCTCATGGCTGTTCCTTGGGGGTGTCTCTTGGACCATCTTGGGCCACCTTATGGTCATCTTGGGCCTCCAGGGGCTTTCCTGAAGCCATCTTGTGCCTGCCCCTTCTGCCCTCTGGGTGCTCTCTTGGAGCCCTTCTGGGGCCCTCTATGAGGGGTTCGGTGCCCTCTTAGGGCTCTTTTGAGGCTTTCTTGGGGCTTTCTTGGGACCACCTTGGGGCCTGAGCAGCTTATTGAAGCCCGCACAGGCAGGAAGGCTGGCCCTCCTGGGAGCATGCCAGGAGAGGCTCTGCAGCCATCTTGGGCCGTCTGTGTAGTCTATCGGGCTGTCTTGGTCCATCTTGGGCCAACTCTGGGCCGCCTTGGCACCATCTCGGAGCCATTTGAGGCCATCCTTGGGCCAGTATGAGGCGTCAGACGTCTTTGGGCCGCGCTCTTGGCGCGCCTTCGCCTGCTCTTGGAGTGCTTTCGCTTGCCCTTCGGCCCCTGTGCGGTCTGCAGACCCCCAGGGCCGCCCACGCGCGCGCGGACTGGACATCCATGGAATCTAAGCCTTCCTACCTGAGTCCTGCTTGAGGGACTTCACGTGCCGATGGCCTGTTGGGCCGGCGAACTCAAGCCTCGTGTTCTTACGTATGTCGCAGGCGATGCACGATTTTGACAAGGATCCGCTCTACATCAATGCAGCCGTCGGAGCATTCAAGATTCATGTCGCGGCAGTTCCAGGCGAGAGCCACATTTTGAAAAGGTACCGCCCTTACAGGTGTTGGTACAGTGGAGACCCATGTCAAGAAACACCCAAGAAACGCCCTGGGATTCTTGGATTTGGATGGCTGTGCCATGGAGAGCGTGACGTTCCCACACCATAGATCAAGGGACGTCCTGGAGTCTCAGTGCTGGGTTTCTTGTGGAAGGTCTCTTGTGGTCGGGCCTCTCCTGTAGCTTTGAGGGCGACTGTGGGTGGCGTCGGGGCGAGAGCCCCATGCTGACCAGGTATTGCCCCCCGTGGCGTGTAGCAGTGGGAGATTTTTGCGACAAGCGTGCGCGGCGCTGAGGCAGGCAAGAGCCAGAACTTCTAAGTGAAAGCGAAGGGGGGAGTGAGGGAGGAAGGACGGAGGGAAGGACGAGGAGAGGGAGAGGGTGGAAAGGGGGGGCGAGGAAGGAGGGAGGGAGAAAGAGGGATGCAGGGATGGGAGGGATGGATGGAGGAGGAGGGAGGGAGGCTTCTCCTCCTCCTCCCTCCCTCCCTCCTTCCCTCCCTCGCTGTCTGGCCGGGTCAGGTGTGCCTTCCCTCTTTGCCCCCCCGGCTGTGTGCCAGAGGGCGGTGAGACCTGTTTCCCGCTGGCAGACGACCGGTGGCACCGGCAACTGCCGCACCAGCAGATCTTCGACCTGTCGATGGGACCAGAGTTCGTGTCGAACTACTCCATGAGGAGGCCAGAAGGCCCAGACACCCAGCATCTTTCTTGGACCTGCGCGGTGGGTGCTAAGGGGGTAGGGGGGTTGTAAGTGGGTGGCAGTGTGGGTCTAGCTTAGGATTTGGCTGCAGATGCCTTAAGCGTCTCAGGGCGTAACGATCTGGGCTAAGTGGGCTCCGCCCACTTGGCTGTCGCAGGGGCCGGAGTTCGTGCTGAGCTACTCCATCCGGAGGCCAGGATGCCCAGACACCCAACGTCTTGTGCAAAGCCAAGACCCTGAGATCCTGTCTATGCAATTTTCACACGGGCGATTTTGCCTTGTGTCAGGCCTAGGGACCCTCACAGATCGATCAGGCTCGAAAAGTGCCGCAGAAAGATGGGGTCCAGGGCTCCAGTTGAGTTGTTCTACGCGGTTAATTTTTCCATGACGTCGGATCGCAGGCGACGAAATTTTGCTCGTCGTGTTCGGCCTCTGAGGTCACTTTTGCCAGGCCACGGGGCCGTCAATCCGAACGGCGCGGGATGAGAAGCTAGTCCCCTGGAAGGTGCCAGGACCTTCGGGGACCCCGCATGGAAAAAATTAGGACACCAGATGTCCCCAGACCCCCGACGTCATGATTTCTTCACAACACGGACCCCCCCGGAGTTCTCGACCCACTTCTTGGGACGGGGTTTTCGTCCTGGTCAGTTTTTTTGGCAGTGCCATGGCCTGGCGAGGGCCCCCAGATACCGAAAATCGCCAAACACCTTCCGTCGTGATCTGTTCACGTCGCGAGGAGCTGAGGGGATCCGGGGAAGAGCGCGCGAACTCCATCAGGGGGCCATTGCGTCGGCTCTGGGTACCCTCTCCGGCCTCCCTGGGCGGCGGCGGCGGGGCGCGCCAGGGAGGGGCGCGAGGAGGGGGCCTCGGCTCTTGCGGAGAAGCTTTCTGCTCACCAATCTGAAGACACGCGCCCATATCCCTGCGATCGGCATCACCTTATCTCCATGCCGATCTTAAGGATTCCCTCAGTTTCTGGGGGCTCAACCCTCAGATCGACATAGCCTTTGGGCTTGTCAGTCTTAGGTCTCGAGGCTGGTTATCTGCGGTCGGCCGGAGTTTGAACACTCCTGTGTTCTTCTGCCCTCCTACCAGTGCTGGCAAGGCTTCGGGGCTGCGCGTAGAAATTCCCGAGAGGTATGGTAGTTTCGTGCCGTGTCGTCGCGGCGGCGACCCCAGCGCTGGCGTTCAAGGTTGAACGCCACCAGCGATCTGGAATCGGCCGACCTGGAGCGATCCGCGCTGCTGGAACGCTGCAATCGTTCAAGGTGGAACGATCCACGCGGTGTCAGAAGCTGCTGTGCAAGTCGTCATGGTACGTGAAACCACAGAAAACCACAGATGTCCTACCTAAACATCCTCCGACATGTTTTTTCAATCCGCGGCCCTTGAGCTCTCGATCCCCTCCCCAGGGTTAGCTTTGCGCGTCAACTCCATTTCTGATGGTCCCCTGCAGGCCGAAATGAGCCTTGAGACCCGAAGGAATGACAAAGTTGCAAACTTACAAGAAGAATGAATTCGGCCGGAGCGCTGGACCCCATCTTTCTGCGGCATTTTTCAAGCCGTATCGATCCGTGAGGGTCCTGAGGCCCGAAACAAGGCAAAATCGCCAGCTGTGAGAAATTGCAATGCCATGACCTCAGCGGTGGAGAGACCGCCGCGATTGGAACAATCGTATCGTTAGAGGTCTGTCAGAAGATGCGAAGTCCGTTCGGACTGAGTCCGCACGGAGTGCTCGGTCTCCGCCTGGGGTTTATCCCATCGGGATTTAGCATCTCGGGCTGGGATGCCAAGTCCGTGCGGAGTAAGCCAGCATGGAGTGCTCGGTCTCCGTCTGGGCTCACTCCGTCTGGACTTACACCTCTCCTGAGTCTGGGCTCGAGGGAGCACGCAGCCCCCAAGCCCTGCGGCTCCGTGCGGTGCATCGGGCGGCCGCCTCGCGAGGGAGTCCTTCTCGCCGCCCCGCGGCGGGGGGACGCGCTGCTGTGGTACAACCACGTGCCGGGGGAGCCCGGCTCTGGGAGCTCGGGAGGGGCACGTCGGCGGCGACCACATGGGGGTGGCGCGAGGGGGGCGGTCTTCTCAGGAGGCGGAGGGGGCTTCTCAGAAGGCAGGGGCCCTCGTAGAAGGCCCCCAGGGGCTTCCGAAGAGGCCGCCGGGACGCCGGCCTGCCTTCTTGGACGCCCCGCTGCCTCCTCAGAAGCCCACCCCCCTCGCGTCACCCCCTCTGGGCGCCGCTGAGCAGCAACGACGCGCCGCTCGTTGGGATCCCGCGTTGGCGTGCTGCTCGCCCATCCTGCTCCCAGACCCCGGCGCCAGGAAAACATAACGACCTGGCATCGAAAGCGAAACCACGGCTGGAGCCTTCGGTCCCATAGGCTGGAAAGTGCATCGAAGGCACTCCTTGCTAGCCTGCCGAAGCTTGCCCTCAGAGTTCCTCCTCGAAGGCCTTTGCGGAGGAGCCTCTGCTTCCCTTGTGTCCTCGTCCTCCGCCGCCGCCTCTTCCTCCTCCTCCTCCTCCTAACCTTTTACACATCTTACGCGCGCATCGCAACGTTTTGCTTTCAAGGCGTCACTCACCAGGGCCGCATGCGTTCCAGTCCAGTCCAGTCCTCTTCCTTGCCCTCCTCTTTTTCTTCGGCCCCATGTTCCTGCGGCACTTCTCAAACTGGACCGATCCGTGAGGGTCCCAGGACATCCTCGTCGTTAGTTTTTTGCAAGGGCTTTTCATCCAGAGTCGTTTTTTGACTGTCCTTGGGCTCGCTGAGGGACCTGGGAGGCTGAAAATTGCAAAACAAATCCCGTGGCATTTTTTCATGACGCGAGGGGGTTTGGGTGAGGGTCCTGCGGGCCCGAGATAGGGCATGAGTCGCCTGGAGTGAAGCAACTGCGACGCCAGACTATCTCGGGGCTGTTCGATGGCCTGGTGTCGTGAGCGAAAAACATATCCGCATCCGCAGCCTCAGGGGCCAGGCCCCCCCGGGCCGCGACCCCGCGGATACGGAGTGTTTTTCCGCGGATGCCCCGCGCGGAACGTATCCGTGCGCTCGCGTATCTGTGGGATCGCGCCCTGGAATCCAGACCGCGAGGGCGCGGATACGGATATGTTCGCAGCTCGTGATGGCGTGCTCCTCATGCAGCAGTGGCGGGCGGATGGGCTGCCCCACGTCGGCGCGTCGCTCGTGCCGTCAGTCACCAACCCACTAAACCACCCCAACCCAACCCGAAGGCCCCAAGTTGCCTTCCATTCCCTGTGTGTGGGGTCCCGGAATATCGAAAAACCACAGAAGAAACACGTACCCCCCCAACCCGAAATTCGGGACTTCTGGTTGGGTTGGGGTGGTCTGGTAGGTAGTCAGTCCGTACCTCCGCCGCAGGAATGGCCTCGGCGAGCGCGACGGCCTCGCCGCGCACATGGCGATGATGCCGGTGCGCCGTCGCCGCCACCGCCGCCGCCCTCGCCGCCGCCGCCGTCGTCGTCGCCGTCGTCGTCGTCGTCGTCGTCGTTGTCGTCGTCGATGTCGTCGTCATCGCCGCCGCCGCCGTCGTCGTCGTCGCCATCCTCCTCGTGGCTGCTGTCCTCCTCGTGGCCGCCATTGTCGTCGTCGTCGCCGCCGCCGCCGCCGCCGCCTCCGTCGTCGTCGTCGTCATCGTCGTCGTCGTGGTGGTGGTGGTCGTCGTCGTATTGATGGTGGTTGTCTTCTTCGTCATGGGAAGGGGAGGAGGGCGGAAGAGGTTGGGCGAGGGTGGGCCGCTAAGGGATAAAGAGCAGTAAGAGTAGTAGTAGTAGTAGTAGTAGTAGTAGTAGTAATCGTAGTAGTAGTCGTAGTAGTAATCGTCATCGTAGTCGTAGTAGTAGTAGTAGTAGTAGTAGTAGTAGTAGTAGTGGTGGTGGTGGTGGTGGTGGTGGTGGTGGTGGTGGTGGTGGTGGTTGTGGTGGTGGTGGTGGTGGTAGTAGTAGTAGTAGCAGTCTTAGTAGTAGTTGGAGCTGTAGTCGTAGTAGTCGTAGTCGTCGTCGTCGTCGTCGTCGTCGTCGTCGTCGTAGTAGTAGTAGTAGTAGTAGTAGTAGTAATTAAAAAGTCGTAGTAGTAGTAGTAGTAGTAGTAGTAGTAGTAGTAGTAGTAGTAGTAGTAGTAGTAGTAGTCGTAGTAGTAGTAGTAGTAGTAGTAGTAGTAGATAGTAGTAGTAGTAGTAGTAGCAGCAGCAGCAGCAGCAGTAGTAAAGGTAGCAGTAGTAGCAGTAGTAGCAGTAGTAGTAGTAGTAGTGTAGTAGTAGTCGTAGTAGTAGTAGTAGTAGTAGTAGTAGTAGTAGTAGTGGTAGTAGTAGTCGTAGTAGTAGTAGTAGTAGTAGTAGTAGTAGTAGTAGTAGTAGTAGTAGTCGTGGTAGTCGTAGTAGTATTAGTCGTAGTAGTCGTAGTAGTAGTCGTTGTAGTAGTGGTAGTGGTAGCAGTAGGAGGAGGTGGAGGAGGAAGAGTAGGAGTAGGCGGAGGAGGAGGAGGCTAGTGATGATAATATTGTTCTGTTGCTGTTGTTGTTGCTGCTGCTATTGTTGTCGTTGTTGTAGTGGATGTTGTTCTGATTGTTGTTGTCGCTGCTGTTGTTGCTGCTGTTGTTGTTGTTTTTGTTGTTGTCGTTGTCGTAGTCGTCGTTGTCGTCGTCGCTGTCGTTGTCGTTGTCGTTGTCGTTGTCGTTGTTGTTGTTGTTGTTGTGGTTGTGGTTGTTGTTGTTGTTGTTGTTGTTGTTGTGGTTGTTGTTGTGGTTGTGGTTGTGGTTGTTGTGGTTGTTGTTGTTGTTGTTGCTGCTGCTGCTGCTGCTGTTGTTGTTGTTGTTGTTGTTGTTGTTGTTGACGAAACCACTCACTGGCGCCCCGCGCCCCCCCGGGCGCAACGCAACGCAACGCAACGCAACGCACGTTACCCCGAATCCTATAGGATTCCTATGGGAATCCTATAGGGTCTCTGCGAACCTCATCGGACTCCTGTAGGAATCCTACAGGAATCGTATAGGGCCTCTACGAATCCGATGGGAACCCCATGGGAATCTTATCGGAATCCTATAGGGCCTTTGCGAATCCTATGGGGATCCCATAGGAATCCGATGGAAATCCTATAGGGCCTTTGCGAATCCGATCGGAATCCTATAGGAAGCGTGTAGGAAACCTCTAGGGCCTTTTAGGATTCCTATTGGAATCCCATCGGAATCCCATGGGAATCCTATAGGGCTTGTCTATGATTCCGATGGGAATCCCATAGGAATCCTTTTTGGGAACCCCATAGGGCCTCTACGAATCATGTGTGGATCTTATATGAATCCCTTGGGAATTCTATAGGGCCTCTACGAAGCCTATCGGAATTCTACAGGAATCCCAGAGGAATCCTATAGAGCCTCTACGAGTCCTATAAGGATCCTGTCGGATTCCTATGGGAACCCTAGAGGGCCTCAACGGATCCTATAGGAATCCAATTGGAATCCTACAGGAGTCATATTTTAGGGCCTGCTTCCTGTGGGAACCCTATCGGAATCCCATGGGAATCCTATAGGGCCTTTGCGAATCCTATGGGGATCCTACAGGAATCCGATGGGACTCCTATAGGGCTTCTCCGATTCCTATAGGAATCCCATAGGAATCCTATAGGGCCTCTACGAACCTACTAGGAATCCTATAGGAATCCCATAATAATCCTATAGTGCCTTTGCGAATCCTTTTGGAGTCCTATAGCAAACCTATAGGAATCCTATAGGGCCTCTGCGAATCTTATTGGATTCCTTTAGGAGTCTCATAGGATTCCCATCGGGCATTTACGAACCCTATAGGACTCTCATAGGAATCTGATAGGAATCCCAAGGAGGGCCTTTACATATCCTATCGGACTCCCATAAGAATCCTATAGGGCCTCTACGACTCCTATAGGAACCCGATTTGATTGTGATACGTATCCAGTAGGAACTCCACGAATCCTCGAGGAATTTTATAGGAATCTTACAACAATCCTAGAGAGCCTCGACGAATCCTATAGGAATCCTGTAGGAATCCCATGATAATCCTACAGGGCCTCTGCGAATCTTACACGAATCCTATAGGAATCCTATAGGAATGATAGGGCCTTTACGGATCCTATAGGAATCCAGCGAGAAGCCCATAAGGCTTTTACGAATCCTATGGGAGTCTTTTTTAGGAAGCTCATAGGAGTCACATTCATTTCGGCACACCCCTCTCGAGGATCGTGGCCCTGGCCTCAGAGGGAGCTCCTCCGAAGCTTCATTTCGGCACACCAATCTCGAGGAGGCCCTGGCCTCACAGAGGGTTTCTCCGAAACTTCATGTCGGCACCCGTCAAGGATGATCGTGGCCCTGGCCCCACAGGGAGCTCCACCCACACATCATTTCGGCATACCCCTCTCGAGGATCGCGGCCCTGGCCGCACAGGGAGCTCCACCGAATCTTCATTTCGGCACACCACTCTCGAGGATCGGCGCCCTGGTCCCACAGGGAGCTCCACCGAATCTTCATTTCGGCACACCCCTCTCGAGGACCGTGGCCCTGGCCCCACAGGGAGCTCCACCGAAGCATCATTTCGGCACACCCCTTTCGAGGATCGTGGCACAGACCCCACAGGGGGGCCCACCGAAGCCTCATTTCGGCACGCCCCTCTCGAGGATCGTGGCCCTGGCCCCACACGGAGCCCCACCGAAACTTACTTTCGGCACACCCCTCTCGAGGATCGTGGCCATGGCCCCACACGGAGCCCCACCGAAACATCATTTCGGCACACATCTCTCGAGGATCGTGGCCCTGGCCCCACAGGGAGCTCTTTTCGTTCCCGTGCCGGCCCAGCTTCTAACACGCCTCCGCCGTGCAGGAGGCACGGCGGCGGATTTGAATCCCGTGGCTCTGGTGGCCTTGCGGCTGACGTGGGCACGCTCCTCTCCCTCTCTTCATTTGTGTTTCAAGCCATTTGGGCATGCGCCTCCCCCCTCTGGGGCAGGACATTGAGGGACGCCAGGCAACACGCCGGGACCCATGGGGATTCTATAGCATCCCTTAGAGATTCTATAGCACCCCTTAGGGATTCTATAGCATCCCTCAAGGATTCTATAGCATCCCTGAGGGATTCTCTAGCATCCCTAAGGGATTCTACAGCGTCCTTTGAGGATTCTATAGCATCACCTTAAGGATTCTATAGCATCCCGTAGGGATTCAATCGCATCCCTTCTGGGATTCTGTAGCATCCCTTAGGGGTTCCGCAGCCTCCCCTTAGGGATTCTATTGCATCCCTTGAAGATGCTATGGCACCCCTTATGGATTCAGTCGCACCCCTTAGGGATTATATAGCATCCCGAAGGGGTTCTGCAGCCTCCCCTTAGGGATTCTATAGCATCCCTTAGGGATGCCATAGCATCCCTCAGGGATTCTACAGCGTCCCTCAAGGATTCTATAGCATCACCTTACGGATTCAATAGCATCCCTCAGGGATTCTATAGCATCCGTCGGGGATTCTGTAGCATTCCTGAGGGATTCTATAGCATCCCTTTGGGGTTCTATAGCATCCCTTAGGGATTCTATGGCAGCCCTAAGGGATTCTATGGCAGCCCTAAAGGATTATATGGCAGCCCTTAGGGATTCTATCGCATCCCTGAGGGATTCTATGGCAGCCCTTAGGGATTCTATAGCATCCCTTAGGTATTCTATAGCATCCCTTAGGGATTCTGTAGCATCCGCGAAGGGTTCTGCAGCCTCCCCTTAAGGATTCTGTAGCATCCCTTAGGGGTTCTGCTGCCTCCCCTTAGGGATTCTGTAGCATCCCTTAGGGATTATATAGCATCCCTTAGGGGTTCTGCAGCCTCCCCTTAAGGATTCTGTAGCATCCCTTAGGGGTTCTGCAGCCTCCCCTTTTGGGATCCTGTAGCATCCCTTAGGAATTCTATAGCATCCGTTTGGGATTCCATAGCATCCCTCAGGGATTCCATCGCATCCCTTCAGGATTCTGTAGCAGCCCTTAGGGAATATATAGCATCCCTTAGGGATTCTATAGCTTCCCTTAGGGATTCTATAGCATCCCTTAAGGTTTCCGCAGCCTTTCCTTGGGGATTCTAGATCACCCCTTAAGGATTCTATAGCATACCCGAAGGTGTCGGCTCGGGGGAGCGCACGTAGTTTCAGCTCGTGGGAACGCGTCGGCTTTCATAAGGATCCCGAAGGATTCCAGAGGATTTTCCAACGGCTTCCTTTGGTTTCTGTTGCCAACCATATGTTGCGTTGCGTTGCGTTGCGTTGCCGGGAGGGGGGGGTCCGGGTCCACCAGTGAGATGTTTCGCCACAAGGAGCGAAGCAGCGAGCTGGTGCAGCATATTCCCGCATACTCTACACTCCCATCTCCGATTAGCTTCCATCCATAAGCTTTGCCCAATACGTTTGCTTGCTTGATCTCGTGAAGATATGTCGCCCCCGCCTACGTCAAAGCACACTCGCAGGGCTGGCACACCCGTCAAGGACGCCCTGCAGCCCTTCGCGGGGAGAGCGAAGCAACACAGGATCCACAGCCCACTCCATGAGATGGACGGGCTCTCCGACGAGGACCCCCCGGGGGCCGCATCTGTACTCCAACGTCAATTCCAGGACAACTTGGCGGCCAAGGAGACAAAGGAGAAGGATCTGGATCGGCCACTTCGGCAGCATCAGCAGGAATACATGCAGCTGCCGATGCGGAAGGGCTCACAGTTGGACAATGTAGACGTACTTCGTGAACAGCATCGACCTCTTCAAAACGACATCCGGGCAATAAAACAACACGGAGCTTCCCAGCAAGAGTTTCAAAATGCAGCGCAGCCATTACGCACAGCCATCGACGACATTTCCCAGAGGGTCACAGCGCTTGAGACCCAACCGACATACCCAGCTTCTACTGGTTCCGGCTCCGCCCGCAGCATGGACAGCACCATGGAAGCGAATATCAACGAGCTCGAACGCCTGATGGCGGCACTCACCGCGATCCAGCACCACGAATGCAACGCCGTCGTTGGAGGCCAAAGTGATTTTTTAAACTTGGATGAGGCTGTGGCTTTCCTGAAACAGCAGTTTGAAAGCATCGCGCCGCCAGAGCCCATCGATGTTTTCACGAAGGGCGAGTTCAACAGCATCGTGTTCATGAGGGTCAGCAACAAAGGGGCCCAGACAAATTCGTCAGTGCCGTCGGGAAGGCGCAGATCGTGGCAGCCCTTCGTGGCCCTCCCTCGCTGCCCTTCGTGGACCCGTTGTGGCCCCCTCGCTGCCCTTCGTGGACCCGTTGCAGCCCTTCGTGGCCCTTTTCGCTGCCCTTCGTGGACCTGTTTAAGCCCTTGGTGGCCCCCTCGCTGCCCTTCGTGGCCCCGTGGCGGTCCTTCGTGGCCCCCTCGCTGCCCTTCGTGGCCCCGTTGCACCCCTTCGTGGCCTCCTCGCTGCCCTTCGTGGCCCCGTTGCAGCCCTTCGTGGCCCCCATCGCTGCCCTTCGTGGACCCGTTGCATCCCTTCATGGCCCCCTCGCTGGCCTTCGTGGCCCCGTTGCAACCCTTCGTGGCCCCCTCGCTGTCCTTTCTGGCCCCATACATCTATGCTCTTCGTGGCCCCCGCTGGTTCGCCCGTCGTGCCCCCATATGCATGCGCCTTGTGGCCCCGTTGCAGCCCTTCGTGGCCCCCTCGCTGCCCTTCGTCGCCCCGTTGCTGTCCTCAGTGGCCCCGTCCTTGCCTTCTGCGGCCCAATCTTCGTATGCCCTTCGTGGCCCCCGCTCGTTCGCGCCCGTCGTGGCCCCATATGCATGGCCTTCGTGGCCCCGCAGTCGCCCTTCGTGGCCCCTTGGCTGCCCTTCGTGGCCCCGCTGCTACCCTCAGTGGCCCCGTCGCTGCCTTCTGTGGTCCCGCATTATCTGCCCTTCGTGGCCCCCGCTCGTTCGCGCCCTTCGTGGCCCCCTCGCTGCCCTTCGTGGCCCCGCTGTCGCCCTTCGTGGCCCCCTTCCTGCCCTTCGTGGCTCCGCTGTCGCTCTCGCTCTCGCTCTCGCTCTCGCTTTCGCTCGTCGTCGACGTCGTCGTCGACGTCGTCGTCGTCGTCGTCGTCGTCGTGGTCGGTTCCCTGACCGCCCCTTTTGGGGTCGGGTTGCCGCCGATCAGCGCTGCCGTTGGCCAGGCCGACGGTCCGCTGCCGCCCCGCCTGTTGCCGGGGCGCGGCTTGCAAGGAAGAGAAATGTACCCCCCCAAGGAAGGTACGATCGAAGTCGAAGAGTGCGGGTATCGACGGTTTGGGGGATACGCGTTGGAAAACACTCGAGCAGATAAGAGCGAACAGCCTTACAGTGAAAATTGTTCTTGTTGCTGCTGCTGCTGCTGTTGTTGTTGTTGTTGTTGTTGTTGTTGTTGTTGTTGTTGTTGTTGTTGAACATTATTACTTCTAAAGAATAATTATTGTTGGGACCCCTGGTGCACGACCCCCCTCCAAAACCTAGGCCGCAGCTACATTTTCATCATTTTTTCGCGAAAGCTTCAGAAAAGTGGATTGTGTCCGGATCCGGTTGTTTTGTTGTAGTCCGTTTTCCCTTGCAAAAAACACTATAAAATGAAAATTCTTGTTCTTACTTGATCAAATTGCAAGAATCCCTTGCAAAAAATAAGGTAAAGTGGACATTCGTGCGCGCAAGACGAAATCCTTCCAAAACCTTAGGTTTCGTAGCGATTTTAACATAAAAACATCAAAAACCCAATGGTTTTTTAAGAAAAAATTGTCAAAATGTCCTTCCGCGCGCGCTGTCCGAATCCCACAAAACCAATGGTTTTTCAACATTTATGTTACATGAGCTCGCGCGAGCTACTTTTTCTTGTTCTAACATAATCAAATTTCAATAATCCCTTGCAAAAAATAAGGTAAAGTGGACATTCGCGCGCGCAAGACGAAATCCTTCCAGAACCTTAGGTTTCGTAACGATTTCAACATAAAAACATCAAAAAGCCAATGGTTTTTCAAAAAAAAATGTCCAAATTTCATCCCGCGCGCGCTGTCCGACTCCCACAAAACCAATGGTTTTTCAACATTTATGTTACATAAGCTCGCGCGAGCTACTTTTTCTTGTTCTTACATAATCAAATTTCAACATCCCTTGCAAAAAAAAGTAAAGTGGACATTCGCGCGCGCAAGACCAACAAAAAACACGACGATCTCAGGAACTTGCCCCAAAAATGTGACCAACTCCGCTCTCTCTGTCTCTCTCTCTGTCTGCTCTCTGTCTCTCTCTCTGTCTGTCTGTGTCATGTATTGTATGTCACAATTGCAGGATGCTGGGCACACGCGCGCCCCGAATAAGTGACCAAGTTCTGTGGGTGTGTACCCCACGCCAGTGTAGTAGCCACGGTCGTCCGCACGCCACGAAGTGAAGTGTCCCAACGTCATAGGGCGGGAAG